TGCAAGTAAAATGAAGTCATCAAGCATGTTTCGATGCTGCATGATACATGCACACAATCGCTGAAACGGCTTTGCTGTATGTATGTACTCTGGTCAGAAGAAGTCGAGTTTCCCATTCTGGCCCAGCCCCCAACGCTCGCTCCATTTCCTCACCCAGTGCACGCCTCCACATAGTTCGAGGCTAGTTCAGGAGGTGCTCAAATTACTGCCTGCTTCGGCCATCCTCCAATCCTCTGATCTTTGGGGTCCAGACCTCCTTCAATTCATCTTCCTGGTCGCTTCTTCTGCTTTCTTTCCCGTGCGTTTGAGCTAGATTCGCTCGTCTCGTTGCCTGGGCTATAATTATACTTTTACTTACCCCAGCACTGCCCGGCATCCCGGAGACTAGATGTATTAAGTGTATTGCATGTCTATCAGGGGGGAGGAAGCATTTGAAGCAGCCCAGTCCAGCCAGAAGTGAATGTGCTAGTTACCGTGCCTCCCACTCCACATTTCTGGGAAGCTCACCGTCACGCCTTTCCCTTTCCACCCCGTCTAACTACTATTCCTCTCACAGCGGACAAGGCGAGAAACATGTAATGTCTGCCGCGAAGGATGGAATGGCTCAGACTCTAGGAGCATAGACAATCCCAAGAAGAGAATGATCCCCAAATGGAAAAGAATAAGAGAAAATAATAAAAGAAAAATAACTTGAAACAAACCCCTGGATATCTTACTCCATACATAATCCGATTAACAGCATGACCGAATCTCTCAAACAGCGAATCTTCCTGCTCTTGAAGAACTCGGTTTTGATGATCTCCCGATCTTCTGCGATATCCCGCCGCCAATCGATCCGTAGTCTGGTCGATTCATATCAAGCACATCAGAGGTTCCATGCTCCACCCACGGTCCAGCATGAGATGCGCAGGCCACATAACAAGCCAAACCACGAAATATGTATATGCTATAAAATGTACAATACAGGTTGCCGCACTGCTAAGACAAACGGCAACGCCATCCCAAGTATCGACGGGCCAAAAAATGCCAGAAAAGGTATCTTGGAGGTCAGGAAGAAGTGGGCGGAGAGAAATTCGGGGAAGGGAATCTGCTAGTAGCAGTATTATCGGTGTACATAATCTCATCACGTAGCGGGTCGGCGAGGCGATCGTGAATGTATTAATCGCCCCGTTCATTTCGAGGAGGTCATAGCAAGGCCACGAGCTGCGCCGACGGCGGCAGACACAGGCGTTGCTGAGCGCGTAGGAGCAGCGCTGCGGTTGTGGGCCATGTGTGCCCGGACAAGGTGGCCTGCCGCAAGAGCAGAGCACAGACTCAGCTCACCTGCAAGGACTGCGGCAGCCACGATCCGTGCAAGCTGACGGGCATTGTCACCAGGGTTGGTGGGGTGAGAGCCGCGCACCCCCAGGAATTCAAGCATGGCAGATTGTCCTTCCAGGATCGTGCCACCGCCGATGGTTCCGACTTCGATGGACGGCATCGACACAGCGATCTGAAGATTGCCGTTAAGGCTAGAAGTAATCGCAATCAGTATATAGCTCCCCTGTCATAAGCTTTGTAATGGACATGAATGACTTACTTTCTCATAGTAGTAATACAACTGCTGCTTTCCACGTTCTGGGCAGGATCTTGACCAGTAGCAAGGAAAACAGCAGTGACAATATTGGACGCATGTGCATTGAAACCACCCAAGCTTCCCGCCATGGCGCTACCAATCAGGTTCTTACTGGTGTTCAGCTCAACGAGGGCATTTACATCACTCTTGAGGACGTTGCGAACAATCTCTCCAGGAATGATAGCTTCAGCCACAACTGACTTGCCACGTCCGTCGATCCAGTTCACTGCGGCAGACTTCTTATCAGTACAGAAGTTACCAGAAACCGAGATGGTGGCCATGTCATCAAAGCCGCACTCAGTAGCCATCACGTTGAGCGCCTTTTCGACACCCTTGGAGATCATGTTCATGCCCATAGCATCACCAGTGGTGGTCTTGAATCGGATGTACAAGTAGGTACCAGCAAGAGCGGTCTTCATGTGTTGAAGTCGGGCGAAGCGGCTGGTAGAGTTGAATGCAGCCATCATGATGCTTTGGCCCTCTTCCGAGTCAAGCCAAACCTTGGCAGCCGCAGCTCGTGCAAGCGTAGGGAAGCCGACACAAGGACCACGCGTCATGCCGTCACCAGTCAGAACTGTAATCGCACCACCACCGGCATTGATGGCTTTAGCACCACGGCTGGTACTAGCCACCAAGACACCTTCAGTAGTAGCCATAGGGATGAAATAGCTTTGGCCGTCAATCGTGAGGGGACCGGCAACACCAACAGGTAGAGGCAGATAACCAATGACATTCTCGCAGCAGGCACCGTGGACCAGAGTGTAGTTGTAATCCTTGTAAGGAAGCTTGGAGGTTTCCAGGGAGCTCGTGAACTCAGAAGTGGCGGGAGTCCGGGCCACGACAGATCGGCGAATCTTGACGGCGCGCGTAAATGCATCGAGACGGCTCATTAGGTCCTCATTTTCCATGGTCTTCTCTAGAGCATATCCCGGGATCTTGCCTCGCAATGACAGGTCAACCAATTCCTCGTCTGACAAGTAGGCAGCCCGCTTCTCCTTCAAAAACAGTTCGCATTCACCAGCAGTCCGCTTGGGGCCATCTTGGTTGTTCAGATCAATTGTGGGATAAACCTTGGGCTCCGGGGGTTCCACCTTAGGGGCGGCAGTCTCAGGCTCCTTGATGCTCCACCTGGCTGCGTTGAAGAGATAACCGTTCAAGACGATGCTCAGGGTCAGAGCTGCGATAATCCATTTGCTGATAATCGGGTCTTCAATACTCTTCAGCAAGCTTTCGATGACACGGCCACCAACAGCGTCCAAGAATTGGTCGCTGTACTCGATGTCAAAGGACTGACCCTCCCCAAAGGCAGCGTAGTGCACAGAGGGGTACTCGAGTTTATACTTGATCGGGGGAATGACGGTCACAATCGTTTCCATCATCTGGCTCTTCGCGGAAACATAGATCGAGTCGAGTCCATTCTCGGCCACCTTGAAAGGATCAATCGGCGTGGGAGCGAGTAGATTGGAGACGCGCGACAACAGGGGAAGACCAGTTGACTTGCGGAAAGGAATCGCGGAGAGATTCACAACGTTGACCAGGATAAAGCCTCCAACCATGAGGATCTTGAAGCGGCGGACATTGCTAGACTTGATCTTCTTTCCGAAAAGGCTGGCGTCGCTGGTTCCATCATTCTCCGAGCCTGCTTGGGGCCAATCATTGTTCGCGGCGACGTTCTCCGCAACACGCTGGGTAATCCCATCCTCCTCGAGGGCTTTGCGAAGTGCGACATGGCGTTTGATGCGAGTAATTTCGAGCTTGATACAGAGGATAGTGGTGTAGAAAGTGAACAGCAAGAGGCAGTCGAAAAACAGGATCCATGCTGCAAGGAAGCAGAACTGCCTCAAACCGCCTTGAACTCCAGAAGCTGCACCGGCCACAAGAATGGCGATCTCGATACAATAGTCCCGAACAATCTCAAAACCTTGCTTCTTGATGGCAGTCTGAATGGAATCCTGGATGGACCGGGGAGTGCTGGGAGCCACTGGGCCACCAGTCTTGCCAGCCCGGGCACCTTGGCGCTTATCAACTGAAGCGCTCAGGACAGCTCTGGTGAGAATGATCGGCTTCTCGAACCCAATGGTCACGACCAGGAACGGAAGACCTTCCGACAGAAGCAGCATATTGATGGGAACGCCAAGCTTGGTGGTCACCAGAAGACCAAAGAGGAAGGCAAAGCATCCAGAGAAAAGAACCGTGGTGGCAAGCCAGAAGTTCGAGCCCAAACGCCGCATCGAGAAGAAGAGCGAGACAAAGCTGAGATGCATCGAAAGGTATCCCAGAGTCATGATGACGATGTCGATCGTTTCAGCGTGCTGCATCGGGTTAGCATGGACTGGGCCATATGAAATTTTAGAACTAAAGGGCATAAGTACCTTGACCAAATCCACGAAGGAACCCCATGCGTCTGCCAGCCAAAGCTTGAGAGCTCCGCTGGATCCGTAAGCCGGACCGCGAGCAGCCCGCATAATCCATTTCTTCTGCTCACCTTCATCCTCGTCGACAGAGGGTTCGGGAATCTCCTGAACAGCCTTCAAAAACTGAGAGACCTGCTCGAAAGGAAGTGTGAACACGAGAGACGCGTCATGGGAGAAAGGCGAGAAGAGATTCGGCGTATGAGGCACCCGTTGTGCGGAGGTATTGGCAGGAATCGGGACACCATCGGCAAGAGGACCGGTGGAAGCTGACTTCGACAGGGAATCCGGGAAGATAAAGGTCGTCAATGCCATATGTTGAGCAGTCTGTTTGAACGGCGGTTGTTAGAAAAAGAACATTCATCTGATGTCTGACACTAATGGACCAGTTTCCGACTTACATCATAGTCTTGGGCAGTCAGAGTATCTTCCACCTGCCATTTCCAGGAAGTACTCTCCCCGAGACGTAGGTTTCTACTACCCTGAAGAAGGGTGTCCACATCCACTTGGCCGGCAACATCTTTAGGGTTTCTAAAAGAGTCGAATAAACTACCTTCAAGGAGACCGACGTAGGTAGTGCTGGCAAGAAGGGCGAATACGACGATCGTGTGAATGGGATGAAGACAGGCACGGCGAGAGAGGAATTGCAAGCCACTGGTGACTTGACGCTTGAGCCATCCAGGCTCAGCATCTTCCTCCGCGTCCGTAGACCGGAACTTCCTTGGGATCAAAGTCGCTGCCATGATTGTTGTCGACAGACGAGAAATTCGAACGAAAGGAGCGGTGTAGACCACGCCTTAGAGGGGGGAAAGCGCTCTGGGAGAACGGTGGGTGAACGCGGTGAAACCCTGCGAGGAAAAAAAAGATGACAGGCGTGCACCGTCCCACGCTTCACACGGAAGACTCTCCTAGGTATCAGAACCTTATGGGTACCTCCTCCAATGTCAATGGCATGAGGCGAAAGCGATAAACCAGCTGTTGCTTATCGGGACTGCAGGGATGATAGCAGGCGTGCGATCAGTACATCAGACCGTTGAAATGCCGACGGAGGCGAAAGAGGAGGGAAGCGCGGGAAGAAACCTACCTGGCAGCGGAGAAGATGTCGCACGTCTTCTTGCTATGCCTTGGAGCCAAGTTCCCAGCAACGGCTTCTGACTGAATACACCCCTTTAAGGATTTCCAGGTCGATTCGTGCCCCTGAGGAACGAAATGTGGAAGCACTTCCACGGCGTGGCACACAGGCGGTGGGATTATCGTAAATCCGTGAATTTCGCCGCTTGAACCACAAGACCGCCAAAGAGCGCGACCAATTAAAGGCAAGCGCGGATATGCGGTCCGCTGATAGTCCGTGGGTAGTGTCGGTAGCAGGTTCCCAACAATCCTGGTAAGTAAGGCAGAATTTATGCAGGGCCCTAGGATCGACTCTTTACGCCGTCGATCAGAGCTTGGGGAGATGAATAATGGGAGAAGAAAAAGAAGAGGAAGAAGAAGGGAAACGAGTGGAGAGAGAGGAGGGGGGGAGCGGCCGACAATAAAGAATTCAAATAGGAAGCAGAGTCGAGGTAGCGAGGACCGGACCAGCCCAAACGGGAATTACTTGGGATGGTTTTAGTAGCCTGGAAACGGTACCATTGTTCTTTTGCCTGGTGGGTATTATTCCCTTACCAGCCAATCCGTACTTTTACCAACCTGACCGTAACTCCGCTTCTCGGGAAGCTGCCAGCCTCAGGCCACCCATTCACCCAGTCCAAATAACCACCTTCATACCACTAGGGATGATGTGAGCTGTATTGAAACCAACGCCGCCACCCTCAGCTCAGATTCAATCAAGTGACACAAATGCTCGTCGAACCAGATCCCAGATTACGTTGTACGCAGGGTTCCAAATGTGTCTAGTGTCACCATCTACATAATTCCCGGCACTACCCCCTGAAGCCTGGGCAAACCAAGACGGGCAAACAGAAACTTCAGCCTCCCGGCAAGCAGCGCGATTGGTACACCTACTACATCGTGACAGGGTCTACCTTACTAGTGTCCCAAGTCATCTAGATGTTTTGCGGACTAACTCAGACGGAGTTTTCTTCGGTGACATGCCAGAACGTTATCAAAGCACTCGGTTATCTCTCATCAACCTTGCTTCAGATGGATTGGACTGACTCGGCAGTAACATCCAAGTCTTCAGGAGACCGCTTCTTCTTAAATAATGGCCCAGGAGTCTGCTCAAAAGCAAGGGTCCTACAGGAAAACCGGCTCTTAAATAGGGTCGCGAAACATGTACTATCCGTCGTAGCATCGTCATTACATCCAAGTTGATGGCATATTTACAGTCATGGTATAGACACCGTTAGTCAAGCTCCTCAGTGAAGAAGACTGTCTTGTATGGCTGAATGTCGCAAGCAAATCATCAATCAATGACTCTCTATAATCAGAAGAAGATGACCATCAGCTCTACCTCCTCCAACTTTGTACGCAACTTGTATTTGACATGCAAGGCGTAACGGCCTTGAATGCGTTAGGTAATCAAAAGTAAGTTACCATCGTCAGTTCTATCATAGTATCCAATCTGGGTTGAAGCTGCATCCACATCGGACTCCAGCCTGCAGCCCAAGGTCCTGAATATTCCCTCATCCTTTCGGGGGTGGGTGGGACGGTGGACACCGGGACAAGGACACCATGACCACTGAAGAGTCGTGATTCATCGGAGATAACGCACGATACCCACCTATTTTCATCTAATCAATCTTTTCATCTCTGCCACAAAAGGGTTCCATCCGGGTCGTTGCTGCTTCGCTTCGCATGATATTTCTGATTTCAGTGTGTATACCGACGGATGAGCGGAAGCTCTGGTATCCAAAACTTGACGAGTTGCTGGCCCATGAGACCTGAACGTACTTTGTAAACCAGTATCCCTACCGAGCGACCAGCAGATCTCGGAAACCCTAAAGAAAAACCAGATTTCGCTTGCGGGCCAAAGCGCGTACGCAACCCAGTGCGATCAGAGTGATATCACAGAGAGCACACGAAGGTTTGGAACTGCCCTCGAATGTGTCAATCACATTACGGCATGATATTTGTCTGTTTGATTTTGTTCGATGGCTTCTGCGTAGTCGGACAACGCTCGCGGGATCAGAGGTTGCCAGAGTCTGGATATGATTGGTACTGATGGGACCGTCGACGGTCGGAGACGCTGGATTTTACTTGATTTAGCAATGGGGACGGTGGGGATCGCGTAGTCGCCAAGGAAGGGCAAAATGAGCGTGGAAGAAACATTCAGGTGCGACAGGTTCAGCTCTTTGCTTTGGCTGAGTCTGCTAACGGACAAGGCCGCTGAAAAGCTGCAGTGGCCATTGTGGATGTGTCACTGAATAATGTGGTTAGGATGTGGTACCCGAGAAGACCTGTCACCCATCTCATGCATGGTATGCGACAGGCACTAGAACGACTGACGGAAAGCTTGATAGCTGACAGATCACATTATAAGTTTCTGCTTTATTCAGATACAGCTTCATTATTCCAGGACCATCTGAATTACTACTGACCGACCATCTATTTAGCTTGTCTGGGAATCAAGTCTTGTCAGCGCGCTTTGTTTGCTCAGGCTAGAGAAAGCGGGGCGCCCATGTTTCAGCGATCCCCATCACGGCGCCTCTACATCCAATATCAGCAGATGTCTGCGCGGTAGGCGAAGAGAATTCTGAAGCCTTGATGCAAGTCATAGAGCAAAATCAAACACACATGTGCCTCGTGTGTCACCTGTATTAGTTCTGCACGACGGAGCGCTACTGAGGACACCCAAGCCAATTAGCGCCCTCGATGGTCTTCAACGTCTTCACATCTGCAACACGGGAGATCGTCTATAACACACTTTCTGTCATGAGATCTTGCTTCCAACCAGATTAAGCGCTGTTGCTAATTTCAGATTTTGATGCCCAGGGTACCTTGCTATGCACGTTTGACTCAATCAGCTTTGTCGTACGGCTCAATCCAGCAGCTATTACCAATGACTCAAGATCTTTATCTGCGACATATCGGGAACCAGAAAAGCTTGGTAGGACGAGAATGGCGATCGATTGGCTATGAATAGACCATGACGATAAGTTCCAATCGTTTCTGGCATCATCCTTAGCGCCTGCAAAGAATAATATCCCTTGGCGCTGGTTTATTCACTTGCCAGGATGGGCGTGTTTCAAATGACCTGATCACATTGGGCATTGTGGTCGATCCCCATATGTTTTCTTTCGGGCTGCGAGCAAACACGGGCTATAGAGAAGAAGATAAAGATGGAGAGCGGGACATTCAGATGAATACTTATTGTGGGTTCGTCCTATTGTCAACTTGCTGAGCCTCTGCCTTTTGTGACCAGACAATCGCTTTGTTTGCCAAAATCTTCTTTGTTCCTCCTATTGTTGTTGTACCGCCTATTGAGGTACTTCGATAACACAGAGGATCAAATAGGAAAGCCTAGAAGTGTTCTTGGGCATGAGTATATAGTTTGTGCGTATCCTTGCTCACTCAATATATTGCCCCGGTCAACCTTCTTCTAAACACTAATTACTACAAACAGACTGCCACCTTTATAGACACCACTGGTTGGTGCACTATCCGAGTAAAGATACTGTGTATCTTGATTTGCAAGTTAAAGAAAACATACAGTGGCTATATAAGATGGGGCTCACAGGCCAACCTCTCAGCAGCGCTCTGAGGTTGCTCTTGCTGGTCCTCCTCTTCTCGACGGCAAACGCACATTCGTGGATTGAACAGCTGCTTGCCATCGCAGCGAATGGAACTTTCATCGGAACTCCAGGCTACGCTCGAGGCAATGTTCATCGCACGACTCCCGGGTTCAGCGACACGACCATGACTTACCTGATTCCACCAAATGATCGAGCCAACCAGAGTCTAATTCTTCCCACCGACAAGATGTGCAAAAGCACGCAGCGAACACGAAATCAAACCGAGGGTAGCCCGCGGCTGCAGGCATCTGCCGGCTCCCCCATCGCTCTTCGCTACCAAGAAAACGGCCATGTGACTCTACCTTGGAATCAACCGGGAAAGCCAAAGAATAGAGGGACAATCTACGTCTACGGAACTACCGAGCCGAAGGAGGAGGAGAACTTCCTGGACGTCTTCAATTCCTGGAATCGCGACGGTACGGGAGGGGATCGACGCGGCGTTCTCTTGTCGAAGCAAAACTTTGACGACGGCCGTTGCTATCAGATCAACAATGGCAATATCTCCGAACATCGTCAAGCCGTGTACCCCCACGTGGCGGACCAACTGATGGGCGCAGACTTGTGGTGCCAGCAGGACATCGCGCTACCATCGAATGCACCTACAGGCAAGCCGTATACGCTCTACTGGGTCTGGAATTGGCCCACGGCTCCTGGCGTGGACCCGTCACTCCCCAACGGCAAGCAGGAAATCTATACCACTTGCATTGATGTAGATGTGGTCGATAGCCCTACGACTCAGACGCACGTCCAGGAGGGATATGTGGAGGGCCAGTCCCTCGACAGCGCAGCCATTCCGTCTGAGTTTGCCGAGGTGATGGGATCTAGCACTGATAGTACGGAGGTTGGAAGCAGTTCTGCGCCAAGTTCGACGACGCCGGCTCCGACGCCAACACCAACCTCGGTGGCGCCTTTTAGAGTTCTCACATTGACGACAGTCATCACGACACATATACCTTGGACTAGCAGTGCTGCCTTGGCTGGGAGCACTTGATCGAAAAGACCTTGCTTTGGATGTGGATCCCTTGCGTTCCCAATAGCTGGGGATTTGGAATGCATTGTATACCCTCCGAAGAGAGCGGGCTAGCTTTTACATTCTCTTCTGCCGCTCGAGCTAGGCGGGCCTAGCCGGGATTGATGACAGTCACTCTTTGATCTTTGTTTGACTAGACCCTTCTGATCAATAGACAATTGAAATGCCGGATTCCATTCATTGTGCTTTTCTTAGGGTACTACATGGTAGATAGGTGGATGGGAAATAAACTAAATAGAAATAGATCCACCGCAGGACCACGAGGAGTAAGTGCGCATCCTATATCCGGGACCAATAGATATAATTAGAGTGGCTGGCTGTCGTCTAGTGGCTGGGGCGTGGTGGGAAAATAGTAGCTACTATGAGCCATGCAAGGCAGAAAGGCATGTGGAGAGACAAGAGCAGAGCAGGAGCATTGTGATGCCTCACTGCTGAGGCACCAAGTGGCCCGTTCGGCGATGGCCCGAGGCATCCACACCTGAAACACGCTAAGCCACGCGTGGGTAGTCACGTGGAGAGGGTGAATCTTCAAACTTCCCAGACAAAAAAAGAAAACGAGCTTGAAGGAGTGGAAGATGTTGGTTTAGAATCAGGAAAGACCCCGGATTATTCACCCCGATCAACTGCGTCTACTCCTCTCCCTTTTTCTGCCCTGGAGAAACCCTCAATTGCCTGACTGTCCGGCCTCGAAAGACAGTGACCCTGCATGCCAGCGGGTTTCTGAATCCTTGAACTCCACCGCATCGGTGACTGCGCCTCGTTGATCCTTAACGCTTCAGTCGGAGCCTTCACGGCAGGTAAGTTAGCAGTAATCTCCGGCACTGGCAAA